AACTTTATTTGCACTAACTTCTTACTGAAATTTAGCATTTCCTTCAATTATTTAACAATATAATTCCAAGAACGGGGGCCCTCGGCTTTGTCACACTAGCCAAGGGGTACAAGACAGTAAGGAGGTTCAAGAGCCCTACCCTAATCCCCCCTTCCACCTACTGGAATCTTCACCTTCCTTCAAGGCCTAGCTCATGCCCTAGTCACTCCTCCAATGCCACAACAGAGTCACAGATCCAAGTTACAGAATCACAGGTTTCTGGAGTTAGAAAGGACTTGGGAAAGTGACTTACATTAGGTCACACAGGGAACAAATACATGGAGGTCGTAGGCCCTGGAGCCAAGCCTTCTGACTCTGAATCCGATGTTCTTTCCACTATGTTATGCCCCTGCTATGGCACTGGGGAGAGGGAAGATGAGTGAAATCCATTTATAATCCCCCCAACTCATTTCTGCCAAGAATTTCCCCTTCCTTTTCTCAGCCTGATGCTTGCTGGGAGCCAGCACTACTTTGGGGTTTCTGACTTGTACCCAGATAGGGTCAGCCGGCCAGGGAAGAAGGAGGTCTGGATCCCCTAGCCCTGGAAGCCCCAGGCTAGAGATTATCCACTCAGTTAGGAAGGGTATAGAATCTCAGACTTTGAATAAATCTCTGGGGGCCACCTATTCCAACCTGTACCTGAGCAAGAATCCCCTCTAATAAAATATGTGACAAGTGATCAATCAATTTCCCCGAACCTCCAGTGACAGGGACCTCACTACCTCACCCAGCCCACACTCGTTTCACTTTGGAACAGTGCTAGATCAAGCCAGACTCTGTTGTGTCCTCCTTCTCTCACTTGGCCCTACTTCTTTCTGCACATTAAGTCTCATCCCTCTTTCTCAGGCCAACTTTTTAAATGCTCGAAGACAGAGCTGTTGTGCTCTCCTTAATACACTGTCCCTTCCCCAGGCCAGACGTCCTCTGTCCCCTCTTAGGATGAGAGCACCAGTCCCTTCTCTAATCCCGTCACCCTCCTCTGGAAACGCGTCAGTCTGCTGGCATCATCACTTCTTAAGGACATGGGCCCAGAATTGAGCATGACCCTTCAGACAGGGTTGGAAAAGGGCTGTGGCGGGGCTTGCTCTGGAACACCAGGGCTCTCTCCATCCCAGAAGCCTCCCTGGCTGCCACGTCACCTTGATGACTCAGTCACTTAAAACCCTCAGGGCCTTCTATCTGCCATCCAAGTCCTGCCTTCCCTCTTCCTGTGCTTGGACAGTTGAAAAAACCCCACAAAAAAACCCCAAACCCATTTATCCCTATTCAATTTCATCTAATTAGATTCAGCCCAGTGTTCTATCTCCTTGTCTCTTGGCTCTGTCATCCAATACGTCAGCCACCCTTCCTAGCTTTGTGTCATCTGAAGATTTGATAAGCACATCAGCTGCTCCTTCATCCAAGTCATTGATAAAATGATGAAGAATAGCACAAGGCCCAGACTGAGCCCCAGGGCGCTCCACCAGAGACTGGCCTCTGGGACCAAGGGACTTAGTAGAAGCTAAAATGACATTTGGCAAAGTGATGAGTAATCAAGTGTGTGTGTGTGTGTGTGTGTGTGTGTGTGTGTCAGAAAGCTAGATGGGAGATTTCCCTTGCCTGTCTTCAGCACCTCACCCAGGGCCAGGTTCCAAGAAAATGTATGGGTTAGATGAGATAGCCACTGAGGTGCCTTCCAACTCTCAAATTCTGTGATTCTGTGAAAATCTAATCCAGTCTGATGGGCATCCTGGCAGCATCAGAAGAAGGCAGCAGCTCCCAGTCCCCTTTGATTACTGCTGAGTCCTAACAAGCCAGGAGTCCTACAGCTGAAGGGGAGGCTTTCCTGTCCATTCTCCATATGGGGCCTCACTTCATCTTAGGCCTAGGAGGGGGGAAGGAGTGGAAACAGGGCAAAACCCATCGGAGCCTGCCCTCTCTTCAGTGCAAGGCAGAGCAGGGATGGTGGCAGACTTTGTCATGGGCTCACAAGCCTGGTTGGTATGCCCAAATATGAAGTCACAGGTAATATGAAACCAACCAAGGTGGGACTTTGGTAACTTCTCAAGGACGCTCTGATGTCCAATGGGAAAGGTGTGGGGTATAAGGCAGAAAGGATGGGGAAGGTAGGGACTGTGGTGTGAAAATCTCTGCATCTTGGTGTTGGATAGAGAGGAGAAAAGGGGGGAGGAGAGGGAGAGAGGGAGAGAGGGAGAGAGAGAGAGAGAGAGAGAGAGAGAGAGAGAGAGAGAGAGAGAGAGAGAGGAGAGAGGGAGGGAGGGAGGGAGGGAGAGAGAGAGAGAGAGAGAGAAGAGAGAGAGAGAGAGAGAGAGAGAGAGAGAGAGAGAGAGAGAGAGAGAGAGAGAGAGAGAAGAGAGGAAGAGAGAATGTCATAACTGCCCTTGGATTTCTCAAGAATCACCTGGTGCTCAAACCAAGGACACTCGGAAAGTAACTGCCCTAGGTGTGGCTTGACCTCTTCCCAGGCCACTTTGTGGAAAGAAATGCTGCCCCCTAGGGCTGAGAGCCAGGGAGGGACCAGCAGTCAGCCCCACTCACTCTACCAGAGTCCCCACGAATGGACACAATCCCCATTGGCTTGCCTGCTTTCCCATTTACTTAGAGGAGAAGCCTCAGCTCAGAGCGTGGAAGGGGAGGAATTCAGGATCTCTATCCCCTTATCCCAACTTGGAGAATTAAAGGAGCATTGAATTTAGGGCTGGGAGGGCCCTTGGAGATCATTCCATCTTGTCATTCCTGTTACAGAGGAGGAAAAGGAAGCCCAGGATGGTGATAGGACGCTTCCAGGGCCACACAGGTAGTAAGGATCGGGGAGGACTTTGGACCCAGGTTGGGTCACCATGGCATCAACACAATGGACTGCTCCCTGGGCTCTTCGGGGAGCCCTAGGTCCCCAGACTCCACGGACAGGAAGACAGCTTTCCCCAGTATTTCTTGAGAAGGGAAGAGCTGTCCTGAAGGCAGTGAGGCACAGTAAAGACAGCACTAGATTTCGAGCCAGAGCATTTGGGTTCAAATGCAGAGGTTGCTTCTTACTGCCTGTGTGACCTTTAGGCCAATCACTGGACTTTCCTGGGCCGCACTCCCTTCCCCTGTAAAAAGTGGGGGCTGGACCAGATGACCCCTCGGGTGCCTTCCAGCTATACCTCTGTGATGTTCTCATCTGAGTACCCCCCAGAGCAGCACATGGCGGCTGCTAGGCACAGTGATGGCCACCTCTGGGGCAGGGCACTCGCCCACATCTAGCTCCATCCCAGGGCAGTTGTGGGGAGAAGGCTTTATGACGTTTCAAGCCTGAGAGAGAAACTGTGGTCACCTGATGTTCCTGTCAGCCCAGCCCCCAGGCTGGCCAGGTGCTGTTCTCTCAATGGGGCCAGGGCCCAGGCAGGCTCGACTAGCTTCACCTACATTACAGTACATCCCTATACTAATTAGACTCATTTGATGTTATAATATGTGTCATTCACTGGGAAACAGGCCAAGAGAAAGCATGCCTTTCACAATTTCACTGTGTCTCATGTCATATTTATTCTAACACTGGACAGGCAAATCAGGGGATCCTAATTGTGAAAGTCACTTCATCTGCCTGAGCCTCAGTTTCTCCATCTGTCAAACTGTGATAATGATACTTGGGGAGGGAAAGTGCTTTGTGAACCAGGAAGCATTGCAGTAATGGGACTGATGTACTCCCATTGAAATGATGATGATTATGGAATCTTAGACCTGAAAGGTCCCTTCAGGACAATATGACCCACCCAACTCATTTTGAGGAGGAGGAAAGAGAAAGGACATAGAATTAATGCTGGAAGAGACTCTGGAGGCCATCTGGTCCAAGCCCCTCATCTGACAGATAAGGGACTGAGGCCCAGAGTGGTGAAGTGATTTGCTCACGGTTGTAGCAGAGCTGAAATACGAAGCCAGGCGCTCTTTCCATCACCTGCACTGGACGGATCAGCCTATATTTACAACTGTGTATGCTGCATGCAGGGGGAACTCGGTCAATGCTGCTCCCCCAAAAGGGTGCCAGTATGACTGAGCAGTACTGGGCACAAAGTAGGCACTTGGTAAAATGCTTGTGCATTGACCGACTGACTAAGAGCTGAGGGTTCCTGCAGCAGAGAAGAGCTCAGAATGAGAAAAGGGAACTGCTCTGGGCTGAGGTTCCCACTCTGGGAAGAGGCAGGGTAGCTTCCAGGGACACGCCACCGAGAGACTGGGCCCGGCCCCCAGCCCAGGCTCTCTCCATCCTCCCAACCCCAGGAGCCGCTCTCCAGCGCTCCTGCACCCCATTTTTGGGCAGGCATTCCAGCTGGGTAACCCCTTTCCTGTGTGGTTCCGTTACCCCTTGGGGGGCAAGGGGTCAGGTCAGGCTGGAGGCAGGAACACTGGCTTTCTGCGCAACTTGCTGGAAAATAACACCCACACAGCGCAACCAGGAAACAAAAGCAAAGAAAAGGGGACAAAACTGAACAAAAGACAGAATATTCTTTAGGGGGTAAAACGAAACAAAGTAAAAATTTGGTTTAAAAAAAAACCAACACAAAAGAAAACCGACAGAACAGAAGAAATAAAGGAACGGAATAGATCACACACTCAGAAGGCGTCTTGAACCCAACGGATCAAATCAACGGAAGTGGCATGCAGAGAAGAGAGTGACATTCTCCCATCATGCATCAGGCCCAGTGGCCCAAACGCCAAGTTACCATGACGACGTAGAGTGCAAAAATTCAGCAACGACATTACCAACGGGATGCAGAAAGGCGCTCACAATGCAGGGCGTCGCGGGTAGTGACCCGCCCGGCGGGCCGGGCGCATCGGAAACATTTTCTCTTGCTTTTTCGCTCTTATTTAAATTTTTTTAATTGATTGATTGATTGATTGATTTTTGGTTTGTTTGTTTGTTTGTCTTAAGAATGTAAAAATGTGGGTAGAGAACGTAAAAAAGAAAAAAACACACCAACCTTCTCGTAGCTCTGAGGGATGTTAAGGGGGTTTGATGCGGAACACAATGACATGAGGAGAAGAGAAAAAATAAGGGGAAACACAGAGAGAGTAAAAGAGGCCTTCCCAAGGCTGTTAGCTGCAACCGTTCTTTGCTTGTTCTCGAAAACAAAATAAAAAAACTTCCAAAGTAAAAAAAAGCCAAACAGCTTCTGCGATTTGCCCCTGACACCGACTCTATCTCTACCTTGGTGGTTTTGTCTTTTGACATTTTCAAGTGTCCGAGCTCCAGGCCTAGGCCTGGGAAGGCGACAGGAGTTAGCTGCCACCACTAGCCCCCGCCTCCCCTGCCCCTGGTCCCCAGAGGGGGAGGAGTCAACGGGGCACCTTGGGGAACTGAGAAGACAAGGCCCTGGAGGTCCAATGCCTCCCCTTGGCCACCCCCACCCACCCACTCCACCCGGCATCCCTCCCCTGCCCACTCCACTGACCGCTCCCCCCCCCCAATTCCCAGCCCACCCCTCTACCCCCTGCCTGCCTGCTGGGGCTACTGCTTGTCTGGGAGGGTGGTGGGGCAGTCTCTGGAGACCTCAGAACTTACAAAGCTTCACCCAAGCATTTATAGAAAGAGACAGAAGGTTAGGGAGGGTTGCCCAGCAGCCACTGCTGAGCATGGGGGAAACTCGCCATGGGTACCTTGGTGGCTATTTTAGGTGTCTTGGGAGGGAGGCTTCGTTTGGTTAGATCCAAAGCTTTGGAGCTACCCAAATTCCCCTTCTCCCTTCACTTGCCTAGGCCCCCTTACCCTCACTGGCCACCATGGAGGGGATGGGAGAGAGAGGAGACTGTGGTGTGACTGGGGGGAGAGGGAAGGTTATTTTTGTTTATAGTCTTGGAAGGAGGCTTTTGGAGGCAGGTGGTGGGGAGGAGATTCCTTCTCAATTTATCAGTTTATCACAGCACTGGGAAGGGACTTTTAAAGGCTGCTCTGCCCAGCTCGCTCAGTTCAGTGAGAGACCCGAGAGTCAAACCTAGGTCCCTGGATTTCAGATTCTTTGGAGCAGAGGGGATCTGATACCCTCATTCTCTCACTGTAGAGGATTATGGAATCTCAGAATTCCACTGGGGCATCTAACTCTCTTGTTTTACATTTGGGGAAACTGAGGCTCAGAGAAGGCAGAGACTTGTTCAGCGTCTCATAACAAGTCAGGGTAATGCCAGGATTTGAACCCAGAGCTAGTCAACAGCCTAGGTTCTTTACTAGGTTATAAGAAGCTGCCTCTGCCCTGCTTTCTACCCTACTATCATTGGGCACACAGAGAGAGGAGGGGAACATTGGTGGATTTTTTTTAAAAAAAGGATGGCTCGGCATTCCTCCAAATCTAACTACCGCTTGATCATTCTCCATCTCCCAGGGCATTTATAGGAACCAGAGCCAGCCTGGCATCATAGTCCAAACCTGGGTATGTAGACTGGCCCCAGGGAAGCCCTCCAAGATGCCATGGCCCTGATACAGGAGGGCTGGGCGAGAAGTAATTTCTTTTTAAGAAAGCATCAAGACCCCTAAGGGGATTAACAAGGGTCTGAACGTAAGACTTCAGGAGTCAGAGAGAGGGAAGAGGACATAAGCCACGGAGGGAAGCCTGGGGCTGGGCAGGGCCTCTGGCCACTAGAAAGGGGCACACAGAGCCAGGACAGATTGTGGACAGGTAGGGCCTCTTTAAACTTTCCTGGGGTTCTCTGGGTAACAGCTAATAGGAAAACAAAAGGCCAGGGACAGGGCTGGGTTTAGGCACAGGTAGGCCGGGTAGGCATGGTTTCAAAGTTATTTCCCTTCCATCCTTATGACACCTGAAACGCCACCATTACAGCTTCCTTTTAGTAAGATGAAGATTTTACCAAGAGGTGAAAGTACAGATTCTGGACAGGTGGGCACACATTAAGCTATTACTTGGTCATTGGTGCCTTAGTATAACTGAGTCTCAGTCTTTTTCTTCCCTCCCCCACTCCAGACAGTAGGCTCAGCTAGAAGGGAAGCCAACGCCTGTATCTGGGTCTAGTTCTTGGAGCAGCAGTGGGGTGGGGGGAGAATCAGCTTCCAAGGCCAGGGGCTCCTTCATGCTCTCTGCTAGACCTAACCCCGACTCCCAGCTAACTGGGGAGGGAGTCTCATCTCCCCCTGGCAGGGGTTTTCCTGGGGCCCAGGGTGGGAGTGGACAGGGTTGGAGGGGGAGGAGGGGAGGCCCAGAAAGCAAAGCCAGCCCAGACAGAGGGGGGTGGGGTGGGGAGAGCTTGCAGCACAATACACCATGGGAAGCTGACTAAGGAGCACGGTGGGGAGGGGGTGGAGACCTGCGGGCTCCCCCTGGCCCGCAGGCCCAAGACGGATCACTCCCACCCTGACCCCTGCCAAGCTCCTGGCTTCCCTCCCAGAGTCCCTCCTGCTGGGCTGGGCTGGGCGAGGGGCAGCTCTCTCTCATCCAGGGGATGGCTAAGTTTTCTGGCTCTGGTTTAAGAAGAGCTCACTATGCCCCGTGCCCTCTCCCCCTTCATGACCTGCTGAGTCTGCTGGTCTAGCTAAGTGATCCCCCGCAGCCCTAGTACCTTCAGGGATTCCCACCTGGGGGACAAGTGGATCTTGCCAAGGGTCAGAGCTGGCAGCAGAGGTCAAACTAGAACCCAGTTCTTCTGTCTATTGGTACCTCGTCAGTAAGAGCTGGAGCTTGACTAGGGATGCCGAGGCCCAGACAGGTGAAGGTCACTGGGGGAGTGGCCGGGCATGGCTGGGACTAGAGCCGGCTGGTGGGAAGGGCTCTTAGAGAAGCCCCAATACCACCCAGTCACTTTCCGGAGGAGGAAGCTACTGCGCAGGGAGGCTCTGTCTGAGGGTCTTGACTGTGTGTCCCCCCCCCTTCCTGGTGCTCAGCTTTCCCAGCATCATCAGCCTGCCCTGCTACCTATCACCTGCCTCTCTGCTACTTTCCATCCCCAGCCCCGAATCCCAGATCTCTTGCTCGGGTCTGCGGGAGCCGGGGAGAACCCGGAGGGTACAGGGTGAGGGGGGCGGGGAAGAGACTGTGCCCTGAGTTTCGGGACGACGCGCTCCCTACCTCTCACGTAAAGGTTAGCGGGGGACGAGTAGCGCACTCCCGCGCTGTTGCTGGCCACACACTCATATTTTCCTTGGTCCGTCTCCTCGCTGCTCTCGATCTGCAGGGCACCTGGGGGAGGGTGGGGGATGGGGTGGGAAGAGAAGGACCAGAGGGAGTCAGTACCCAGGGCTGGGGGCCACTCCAGCTCTGGACCTCCCTGAGGCTGGCCTTCAGCTTGGCCCAGGCCTCTGCGAGCACTTGACTCAACACCTCCAGTATGAACCGAGCATCCTGGCTGGGTACCACCTAGCACAGGATCACACCCCGCTCCCTGATCCTCCCGTCAGCTACCACAGTCCCCCGAACCTCATCTTCTGCAATATCTTCTTTCGTACCTCTCTAATATACTCATCAAAGAAGTCTGACCACACGACTAAGACTGTACTAGACTGGAGGGCTGCGAAACATCCCTCGGCCTTCCTTCTGGGGAGGTCAACGTTGGGCTGAGCACGAGGAGTTTTAGAGATGAGAAGACTGAGGCTCACCCAGCTGAACTGATTCACCAAGGTCACAGAGAGCAATTCTAGGAACTTTAGAATGGGACCACTGCACACTACAGTACCCTCTCTTTAACTGATTCTCTTTATACTTATTCTGTTTGAATTTAGACTCTGTTGTTTTCCCTTTTAGAATACAAGGTCCTTGGGAGGAGGGACTGTTTTAGTCTTTGAGTCTGTACCGTCCCCCCCCCCCCCCGCCCCATCTAGCTGGGTTCCTGGCAACCAGCAGGCACTTAAGCCATGCTTGATGATTCAGTGATATGTTTTGGGGAGGGGAGGAATTTTATTCCTCTACCAGACTATAAGCTCCTTGAAGGCAGGGACTATGTCCCAACAAACCTTTGTATCACTCTCAGTGCCCAGTTCTGCACACAGCAGGTGCTTAACCTAGCGATGGTCTGCACACAGGAGGTCTGTTGTATTTACTGTCTTATTTCCCCTGCTGTACTTCGCTGTGGAGGAGCCCTGTCTCCCTAGCCTGATCTGAAGACGCCCAGGGCAGGCACCTGAGGCCTGTCCTCTCAGCTCTCTGCAGAGGGGAAGGGAGCAGCAGGGGGAGTACTCAGCAGATATAAGGTAAGTGGGGAGTGGCACCGAACGGCCGTTTAGCCCACACAGATGCTGACGGGCCAGGGGCCTAGACTGGGCAGCAGGGGCCCCTCGGGACAGCAGTGAGTTGATCTAGGATGGAGGGTGGGGGGTGGCTCATTCATACTGGCTCCCAGAAGGCCTCAAGAAGCTCTCTCCAAAAAGTACAGGCAGCCTGGTTTGGGTTCTGTGCTCCTGCATCAGCTGATGCTGGCCCACAATGGCTAATTTCCAGAGCAAGGACAAACATACAGCAAATTTTATATCTGTGTCTATTTTCAAGGTGAATCACTTATTTGTTTGATATTGGTCTACCCTGGAGGAGGCCATGCCACCCATGGGTCTGAATTTAAACAAATGTGTTGAATTTCATAGACCCTAATTAAATCCACCTGTGCCTAGGAAGGAGTCAATGAAAATGTGCATGAATTTCCACAAGTGTGTTTGAATGTCACACACCTTCATTTAGAAGGCACCCAAGAGAAAATTAAAAAAAAATAATATATATATATCTATATATCTGTAAGAAGGGGCTGGCCTGACAAGAGAGTTAATTGGGCAGCTGCTGAAGGCACTGGGAAGGTTCCTCCTGCCCCCAAATATCTCTCATTCAAGGAACACAAATGTGTGAAACCGCACCATTGGCTGCTTACGTCTTTGGGGATAAAGGCATGTTCTCCTCAGGCTCTTAAAAATGCAGGTAGCGTTGCTAGCCTCTTGGAGAGCGTACGCATCACATCTTACTGTGAGCAGGCTCACTGGGCTGTACCTAAGGAAGGGTGGTGGGGCCACGTTTCAGCATTTCACTGAGCCTAGATCCGGGCTTTCTTACAGGGAGTGTGGTGAAAGCCTAGGAGGACCTAATGTGTTTGAATTCATCTAGTTTCTCAGGTTTGGAGCCTTAAGGCTGTCTCTGACTCCTTACCAAATCTGCAGGACCTAGCAGACCCACTGGTCCGACTCTAGGATGGATCCTCATTGTTACCCAACTCGACTATGCCAACAGACTCCAGCCAGTCTCCGCTCTCAGCTCATTCTGATCCACCCTTCAGTGCACGGCCAAATTGGCCTTCCTTGTACACAGGTCTGGGCGATATCTTCTGTCTGCACTCAAGCTCCCCAGAACTTGGGGATGCTCTGCTGCTCCAGCCAGGCCGCCCTCTCTGCTCTCCTGCCTCTGTAACTTGGTTCAGAAGCCCTGATGGCTGAAATGTCCTTTTTTGGTTCTGTTCAATTTAAACCCCAACTGAAATGGCCACCTTCTTCTCCAACCTGCTACAGTGTAGCGCTCTAGCCCTAACGTACTTGTATATTAGTTATCTACATCTGCTCTCATTCCTCACTAGACTGTGAGCTCCTTGGACTGTCCAAGAGACTGCTAAGCTTTGCACAGTCTGGTACAAGTACGTGCTTAATAAATGTTTTATTGAAATGAATGAAATCCCATCCTAAGGACTTGTTAATTAATTGTTCTGCCCTGCTGAGGCCACGGATGGGAAGGACCTGTGTTAAACCGGGCAGGGACCTCACATTCATTCCACGACAGCCTGCCGCTTCAGTTCCTAGATCTCAGACTGACGGGCATTTATTACAGACAGAGGCTTGCTGCAGCTGGTGGAGACATGGGCTAAGGAGTTTGGGTCTGGACACCTTATACTTCTATAGTGCTTCAGACTTTTCAAAGCACCTTTACCTCCAGAAGGAGAAACTGAGGCTCAGAGATGGGAGGAGCCTAGCCCAGGGCTGCAGAGCAGAGCAGTGAAAGATCCGGGACTGGTCTCTGGTCTGCCATTCTCGGAGGCTTGAGTGCTTGAGGCCAGGTGGAAGAAGGGGCCCATCTCACCTCTGGTCTCAATTCAGGTCGCTCCGTTGGAGATTTTTACCTTGCACCCACTGACGCTGCCCATTCTCCTAACTTCCTTCTTGAGAAGCTTGAGAACCCAGAACCTGTCCCTCTGCCCTCTCCCCCTGCATACCTGCCCTAGAGAGCTCTGCCCCTGCCTCCACGTCCACAGGCACACGGTTCTGCCCTTCAGGACTAAGTCTGAGCGCCCAGACCAGGGTCACAGAACTCCGGAGAACTTCCTCATTTTACAGAAGTCCAGAAAGTTAAATTTTAGGCCCTGGGCTTCAGAAATGGTTTCATTTTCTTCCAGGGAGCCCTGGCTTACTTGTTTAATGAATTAAAATGAATTAAAAAAACAAGATTCAAACCCATGTTCCCTGACTCCAAACCCGGGGCTCTTTCCAGGAGGCCACAGCTCATGCACCTTCCCCCATTAAGGAAGGGTTTTCAGGACTCAGCTGGTTCTGGGCTGGGTCTGAGGGCCATAGGTGGGATAAGTCACCGCATTCTGGTCTGCCTGGGTGACTTCGAATCCACTCCTCCTGGTCTCATCATTGCATTCCCCAAGGGATGGCACAGCTCAGCTCTGTTTTCTCCCTAAGGCTGAGGACAGACTGTGCGTGTGGATGAATGTGTGGGGGAAGAACAGAGGAGCTACAGCTATATTCAGCGCCTGCCCTTCTCTACTCAAAGGCCACGCCATCTCTGTGGGGGAATCGGGAGTACACGCATAAGCGGCCTTTGAAGCTATGGACAGTTTGCTTGACCATTTGGGACTGATGCCCAGAACGGTGACTCATGGTTGGGGGAGACTCAGAGAGCTTTAGGGAGCAGCTCGTAGACACCCCTTATTTTCTGAATGGGTAAAACTGAAACCTAGAGAGAAGGGACTTGTCATGTGTGTGTGCGTGCATGTGTGTTGTATGTCTATATGTATGTGTATGCACACGTGCATATATGTATATGTGTTGTGTGTACATATGCGTATGCATGTGTATGTATATGTGCAGGGTGTGTGTGTGTGTGTGTGTGTGTGTGTATGTGTGTGATGGGGAACTGTCCTTTCTCTGGCCACTAGATCATTACAGGAATGAGGCCCAGAGAGGACTTCAAAAATAAGCTACTTCAACTCCCTCTTTTTTCAAGGCTCCCTCTTTCAGGTCTGGAGGGTGGTCAATAGCCAAGCCTCAATTTGAACCCAAATCTTTGGGCTCTACGACCAGCGTTACTGCCAATAGCCCACACCACATTACCCACGGGTGGGCAGCCCCTTTTAACCCCTTTTATGAGGCTGGGTCATCTGCAGACTTAGCAGAAGACCTGAGAAGGAATTCCCAGCCTTGGCGAGCCCAGACACACAAAGACCAACATTGAAACAGAGACAAAAGAGCACAGACACAGGAGGACAGGCCGGGGGAAGGGAAGGGAGAGGAGGGGCGTGGCACGTGGGAGGCGGGGGAGCCAGCTAAAGGCCGCCCTAGCTCAAGCTGGAACCCTGGACAGGAGGCAGGAGGCTGGGAGCTGAGGAGTGTGTGGAGGGAGGAGCCAGAGAGGGGGGGCAGGTGGGTGGGTGGGTGAGTGAGTGGGTGGGTGGGTGAGTGAGTGAGTGAGTGGGTGAGTGGGGAAGCCTCTTACCTCGGATCGGAGTACTTTCTGTAAGGGAAGCAAAGAGAGTCAAGTGAAAAACAGAAACATCTGGCCGGCCAGCTGAGAAAGGACCCCATGGAAGAGAAGACAGCCAATGGTGAGAAGCTGCCCAGCCTGCCTCTTTCTCTCTCTGGGCAACTGAAAATCTACCCAGCCTCCGAGGCCTAGTCTGTGGCCTACATCCACTGGGATGCTAGTCCTCCCTGCCCTCTGCCTTCTCTTAACTGGAAGTTCCTCAATCTTGTCCTGCTGTCTCCCACTGCCACACGTTTGCCCAGGCTGTCCCCAGGACTGGTACACACTCTCATCTCTGCCTGTTGAAATCTTTCTCTTCCCTTATGACCCAGCTCTACTACTGCCTCCTCCATGCAGTTTTTAGTAATCTCTCTTTCCTCAAATTTTCCTAGACATTTTGCCTGTCTTTTCTTTGCCCTCAACACGTTCCCTGGCATCAGCATTATCTGTGTATTTGTCAAGTTTTTCCCTAGGTTCACAGGACTGGGAGCAGAAAGGGGACTCAGCGATCATCTGGCCAGAGGATGACATGGGCTTCTAGATTTGGAGTTGGAAGGGACCGTGACGGTTGGGTAGTCCAACCTACTCATTTTACAGATGAGGAAACCGAGGCTCAGATTGAGTGACTTGCCCAAGACTGCATAGGTACTGGGGGGCAGAAGCCGTCTTCAGACTCAGGTCTCCTAAATCCAAATCCAACACTATTTTCTTTTTCCACGGTGCCCATCATTCAACAGATGAGGAAACCAAGGTCTAGGTCACCCAGGTGACCTGGGACAAGTACTAGAGCCTAAATTGTTTCCTGTACGTCCATCCCTTTGTTTCCCTTGTAGACCGCTCCTGGCAGGCAGGGCCTCTGGCATTTTTCGTTTTGAGAGTCGCCAGTGCCACGCTCAGGACAAGGAACATAGCACGCGCTTAACCAATTGCTGACCAAATAGGATTGTTAAAAATGGAACTGAATTCCAACACAACCCGGCCCTTGTTTCTCCACCTGGAAGCATTCCCTCCACATCTCTCCTTAACTACCTAAACTGGGAGGGCAAGGACTGGGGGGTCTCTCACAATGTCCCCATGCCCACCCTGGGGAAGTGCACAAGTTGGGCGTACAGGGCTGAACAGGACCGTAGAGGTCACTGACTCTAGCTGTCCCATTTTACAGAGGAGAAGAGTAAGGCCTGTAGAGACTTGGCCAAAGTCAGGGATGGTCAGCAGCTGGGCCGGCACTTGAACCCTAGCCCCCAGATCTAAATCCTTAGCTGTTTCTGCCCTTTATACTATGTGTGAACCACCCCGATGCTGCTGCCATCAGACCTGCCTGCTCCCATCACTACTGCAGGAGACTGACTCCTCATCGGCTAACAGAAGAATGGAGAGTGGGGAGGGAGGGAGGGCTGGGGTGCCCTATGCGGCCAAGCCTGTGGGTCAGTGCTTTGTCTCTCCCATCAACTCTGCCTTTTTCCTACTCTGGGAAACAAACCCGAGGGGAAGAAGGATGCACACAATGGAATTGTATTGCTGAAGCCTCTTTCCCTCCAAGGTCCCCTTCTGTTCCCTTGGAAGAGGGATGATCCATTTTATCGATGAGGGAATTCGAGTCCCAGAGGGGGAAGTGACTTCACTAAGGCCACACTGCCACTAAGTAGAGAACTAAGGTCTGAAAGCCGGGTTTGCTGACTCAGGGTGGCGTCTTTTCAAGCAGGCTCTCAGAAAACTGTTCAGCATGGAAGGACAGAGGGGGGATTTTTGCTGGACTGCTTAGGAAGGCTCGCTTCCCGGCTCCTGGCTGGCCATTTGGATGCAGGAGCCACGTTCTCTCCCCATCCTCATCATGCCCTGAGGGCACTGGAGTGGCAGCCCTCTCTGGGCCAGCCCATGTGCTCCCTCAGACCCCTTAATTCCCGCCCACCACAGACTCAAGACACCGGTGGAGAGCTGCCGGCCGGCAAAGGGGGGTGGGCTGTCTTCAGAAGAGAGGGCACAAGGGAACCACTGCCTAGGCATGATCAGGCCCCATTGTTCTCTTGGGACTGGCAAGTGGGGAGGTGAGGACATTGGTTAGAGAGTCAGCTTGGGAAGGGTGTTAGGAAACTTGGTTAGATGAGGAACAGATGGAGGGTGGGGGGGTCAGGAGCTCCCTCCCTCCAGGTTAATGAAGCACAGGGATTAGCTTTCGGGCTTGGAATTACACATAGGGGTGGGGGCAGGGTTCACAAGGACAGTCTGGGGGCAGGGGAGGGATCGGGCAAGAGGGAGGGTCTGGGGAAGAGAGAGGAACAAAGTGGGTTGGAGACCCATTAAGGGGGAGCGACACAGTCTTGGGGGGACTCCTTTTAGCTCCCCAAGGGAAAAGGAGAAGAGACCAAACCAGCCAACTGAGAGACAGACACCTCTGTTGAGTCAGATGGGATATCAGGCAGGGGTAGAGCGGCTGAGGAGAAAGAGGGAGGGAGCAGGGGACAGAGCCCTGCCTCTTCTGGAGATCTCCAATATTACGCTCCGTCGCCCCAAGAGTAAGCCAATTATTCTACCACCATGGGAGCTGGGGGGACAAAGGCAGGTGTCCTTGGGGTGAGAGGAAGGAGACTGGAGTTTCATGCCTAACCCTACAAACTGTTAAAACTGAGAGCCACCTTGGAGATCGGCCTCCTCATTTGAAAGATGAGGAAACTGAAGCCCAGAGATAGAACTGACTTGTGCAAGGTCACACAGCTGTGATGCAAACCCAAATCTTTTGACATGGCCAAATCTATTGCTTTTTTCCCCCTATTCTACCCTGCCTTGGCTGGGGACAGAGAGACAGGGGCTGCTCTCCTACAAGACATCCTCCCCCTTACTTTCTTCTTCCATCAGAGGCTGAGTGACACCAGGGGGCTGGGAGGAGCTCGGGTTTGGGGCCTGCCCTCAAAGAGAGAGGATCCATCAACCAAAATCAGGTATAAGGACCAGAGTTCTGCGTTAAAGACTGTCCTTCCTAAGGGACAGATGCCAGTGATGGATGGATAGACCAGCCTGCCTCTGCCTCTTCTCCATCACCAATACCAGCTGAGGCCCAACCTGCCAGGGACCTGGGGAGGGATGGGGAAGACCAGTGCACTGCGGGTTAAGCAGAGGGCCTGTCTCCATAGTAACCAGAGAACACGTACCAATGCCTTCTTTGTGTATGCACTGCTCTCCCAGGAGGATGTGGAAGGAAAAGGGGCAGAGCAGAGGGAAGTGAGTGTCTCACACTCATAATGTCAGGGCAGGAAGTACCCTCAGAGATTCCCCTTATTTTACAGATGGGGAAAATGAGGCTCAGAGAGAAGTCACACAGACAGTCATCAGGAATGGAGGTTAGAACCTGGGTCTCTTGGCTATCAGGTCAGAGGTCTTTAGATTCAAGGAATACTGTAAGTCTAAGGAACCTTAGCAATCGGTCCTACCTCTTCATCTTACTGACAGGGAAACTGAGGCCCAGGGAAAGGGACAGGATTTATACAAGTCGTACAACAGGTCGGTGGCAAGGCTGGGCCTAGAATCCAGCTCTCCAGGGCATTTTAATCTTGAGTGAAAAGGCTCTCACAGACATCTCTCATCTCTCGCCTTTTAGATTAACTAAAGTCCTCAAGGGATTGTTGGTCTAGGGTTTGAGCCAGGCTGACCTATTCCCTGCCCGCCATGCACTCTCAGGAGTTCCCATTCCTCTGTTACAGATTTATTTCTTTGGTATTTGGAAAACTTTTCAGTGCCCAAGAGTCTCCCATTAAAATGTAAACCCTCCTCGGGGTGTGGGACTAGCTGCTGTGCCTGGGGAATGGTAGGCAGGGGGATAGAGACAGCTCCCACCATTTTGCTGGACCGAACACATCACAGAATGGTAGGCAGGGGGATAGAGACAGCTCCCACCATTTTGCTGGACTGAACACATCACACAATTGCACATTATTAGAGCTGAAAGAGTCATGAAATAGCCAGTCCAATACCCTCATTCTACAGATGAGGAATCTGAGGCTCGCCTAAAGCCAGAGTACGTGGCTAGGCCTCTTCACTCCAAGATCTAGTTCTTTTCACTCCAACATTCTTCAGTCACAAATAATTTCTCCCTCATGAGTGGTGCCATGATAATCCCCACTCCCTTCCTCCCTCTAGGGCCTGGATCACTGTGGGAGGCAGCATGGTGTGACAGAAAGGATGTAAGCCTTGGAGACAGGACACCTGAATTTGAGCCTGGATCTGACATGTTCTAGTCATGGGACAGTGGGCAAGTCACTTCCTTTCTATAAGCCTCAGCTTTCCCATCTGTAAAATGGGGCTAATAATACTGCCACTGTCTACCTCCCAGGGCCACCGTGAGAAGTCATCATACTCTGTAAGTTTTCAAAGCATGACAGAAAATGGGTGTTACTGTCATCATCAATTAAAGACTCACTGCTAAAATTCTCGCACTTATTTCTTCTCATGGTGGGACAGTGTCTAGGGGGCCACTGAAGGCCTTGCTGGGGGACAGCGATCTCTGACAGGTCCAAATAAGCTGAAGTGGTGGTGATGGGGGAGGGATGTCATCCTGGCCATCGTATTAGGTAAAATGGAAGTGGGCTCTGTTTGTACTGGTCAGGTGGTACCCATGCCAAGCAATGCCAACTCCTAGCTCCTCCTAGTATTTTTAGATGTGAAACTCTTCCCTCCCTCCTTTCTTCCCCAGGGCAGGGATGAGATAGAAAGGCCACCCTTTCTTGCCCCCAAAGGCTGCCACCCCCAGTCTCCTTTCTCCTTCCTTCTCCTTTCTCTGAGGTTCTGGCCTTTGGTGCCCCCGAGGACAGGTCGTTCTGAGGGAGAGAGGGCTCCTGGTGAGAGGGGTTAGTAAACATGCCGTGTCTAAAGCTGTTAGGGTGGTCATTAGTTCTGGGGTCAGGAAGGACGTTAGCTGTTTAACTTGCTTGATCAAACAGACTTACCAAAGGTCTCTGAACGTTTCAAATAGTGAATCAGAAAAGAAAACATGAATTTGTTAAGTGGGTTATTCAGACAGTAGCAGCCCCTAAGTGTGATGGCTTTTCTGGTCTTGGGTCCTTCCCAGATCCAACCACTGCTGACTCACAGAAGAGGAGTCACAAACCCCAGCAGGTCTGACACCCTTCCCCACCTCCCCCGGGTAGCACCCTTGTCTGGAAACTCTCAGGGCTTTGAGGATGCCATCTCTAGGGGGGACTTTCTGTAGAAAGTCTGCTTTCCCCAAATGGGGGGGTTGGGTTTGAGGAGCATGAAGCTGGGTTTAATTTGGAGGGGAGGACAATGTGGCAGGTCCCAGCAGCTTCATTTGCTAGGTGAGGACATCTCTAAAGACAGAAACTCAGAAAGAAATCCTTCTGCTGGCTCACATACCTGCCCAATAAAAGAGCTCTCATTGGGCCTGTCCTCATCTCACCTCCCAGTTCCCCTGGGCAGCTCTCTTCCTGATTTCAGGGGGCTCCTAGGACACTTCGAGGTGCAGAATAGGGGGACGGGGCACTAAAGAAACCTAGCTACTCCCATCTGATCAGCCAGGGGGAAGAATCTGGGAGAAACATGAAAGAGCTTCAGTATTCTCTGATCACAGCTCAACAGGTGAGGTTTTGAGAGGGAGACTGAGAAAGAAGAGAAGCCAGACAAGGCACATGTGTCCATGTGTGAGGTTTCATCTCTAAACTGGACAACATTAGGAACCAGATGAGGCTTTTGTCGGTAGCTCACAGCACAGAGACATATATGTATATGTGTGCATGCACACGAGCCAATCACATGGCACCATATATGCCAACAGCTGTGTGTGCAGACACACAGGTGTACTCAGGCAGGGACCGACAACGCGGCCACACTGATACCGGTCCGTGTGTGTATGTGTGTACAGCCACATTTGTGTGCCTGCAAGGTGTGAACATGCGGGTGTGCATGTATCTGTGTGCATATACGTGTGCACACACACATGCATAAAATAATACTTGGGGAACTCATGAGAAAGAAAACAGCTACAAACACGGACACGTATATAAGCAACACTACACCCCACAAACACGTGATCCGATGGACAGATGGACGAACAGATGGGGGAAGACAAACAGAGCCCAGTGCCCGGCACCGAGCAGATACACACAGCTGTCAGGGGAGTGGCTCTTATTGGGATGACCCCAGGGCCACCGGAGAGGCCAAAAGGCGAGGCCTGCCCTCGCCTGAGGGAGAGCCAAGGCCACAGAGAGACAGGCCGGGCCTTCCATCCCCTCTCCATGAAGGCCCTGGAGGATGCCCTGAGCCTGAGGCCGGCCCCCACAATGCCGGGTGCATATGGAAGCCTCTTGCTTGTATCAGAAGGGGTTGGAGGGAAGACTGAGGTGCTTCCTTCCCCTCCAGAATGCAAGGATCAGAGACCATGACTGGCCAGGCAGCTTTTGGTCCAGAGGCAGAAGGTCCTTCTTGCCTGGACACTTCTCTAAGGGCCACCTTGCCCAGTACAGCACTGTCTTTCCTGTCTGACACCCCGTGCCCCACCCCTCCCCCAGCCCCTTTCTCTGCCCAAATCCTTACCTGATCTCAGCTGTTTGATCCTGCCATTGCTGGTGCTGGGGTCCACTGGTAGAAAGTCTTTGAACCAGGTGATTTCGGGGTCTGGGTTTCCGCTGGCCGCACAGAGCATGGTGGCAGTCCTTGTACGCTCTACCACCTTCAGCTGGGGGCCCATGTCGATGTTGGGAAAGCCAGGGGGCAGCTGGTCCTCTGTGGAGAGAGCAGGCCCATTGGTGATGGTGGTGGTTAGGGGGTGGGTATTTGGGGCAGAGGCCAATAGGACACCTCCATACGTGGCTCCAACCCCCACCAAATTCACCCACTTTTTAACCTTCCCCTAACCTGTTCCACTGTTTGGGAAGGTAGAGGGGAAGGAGCCCTGGACTGGGAGATGATGGGTTCAAGTGCCCACTCTCCATTGACTGACTGCGAGGCCTCAGCTGAGTCATCTACCCTTACTCTGAGTCTCCTCTGGCTGTGAATATGAGTGGACTAACGGGTTAAAATGGATTCGGGAGTTGGGCAGCCAGCCAGCGCTGTAGGCCCGCTTCTGAAACTCACTCTCTGGGTCATCTTGGGCAAGTTACTGATGCTCTTTGGGCCCCAGATTCCTCATCTGTAAAAAGGGGTTAGTCCCTGGCCCACCAGCCTTCCCAGGAGTGCAGTGAGGACCGAAGGAGACAACAGATATGAATGTAGGGACGAGGGAGGGCTCCCCTGGGGCTGATGGCCTCAATCAGCTGTCAGGAACCTCTGCAAAGTAATTCTGAGCAGGCAGTGAGGTGGGACCACTGACTGCTGGGCTCCTGCCATTCAAAGCTTTCCAAACTGTGTCAATAGGCTCAGTGGCCTAATTCAGAGTATGTGTGCAGGGAGGGGGAGAGGGAGCTGCAGCCAGCGCCTAGGGAGGGGACAGGGAGGCATCCCAGGTCAATGTATCGGCGGAGGCAGAAGAGGCCCTCTGGGGCCTGCGGGTGGCCTAAGCAAGTCTCTGCTCCTCTCTCTCCTCATCTGCAAAATGAGGGCATTAGACTAGCCATGACGTTTTGTTCTATTTCCCAAGGGACTTTCTAACTGTGACATTCCATAATATAATGTCTCCTCTAACTCTGACACTGGATGTTCTAAGGGCCCTCCCAAACCTGGCATTCTATGTTCCGAAGACCCTCCCAGCTCTGACATTCTGTGTTCTAAGGTCCCTCCCAGCTCTAACATTCTATGTTTTTTTTTTTTAACATTCTATGCTCTAAAGGCCCTCCCAGCTCTGACATTCTGTGTTCTAAGGGCCCTCCTAGATCTGACATTCTATGTTGTAAGGGCCTTCCCAGCTCTGACATTCTGTGTGTTTTTTATCTTTTCTTTTATCTTTCCATCCCCACCTGTACCCCGTTAAATCCCAGGCTGAAGTCACTACTCCCACTGGAGCACTCTCTCTGCCACAGCCTGAGGGACCTCCCATATAGCCAAGACCCCTAATGAACAGAAATCCTCCTATGAAGAAATTGTACAAAGGGGGTCAGAGATGATTAAGCCATGAGCCACTGCCATAGCTGACACAGATATTGCCAGACCATCTGGAGCAAACCTCATTGTGTGTGTGTGTGTGTGTGTGTTGGTTGGGGGTGAAGTAGGAAGGCACCATTACCCTCATTTCCCAGATGGGGTGACTGAAGCCCAGGGCCTCTCCCAGGAGGGTGCTGCATAGTTGGGAAAGAGTCACAGATGCCCTCATTGTCGCCGCCACCTCATGCTAGCCTAGCTGTTCAGCCAATGAAACCCTCTAGGTTCCCCTGCATAGAGTCTCCCTACTTTGCCTCCGGGCAAGTCGCAGAGCCAGGATGAGCCTCGGGAGCGAGCACATTAGACTAGGTGATCTCAAAGGTCCCTTCATACTCTCGAGCCTACATTCCCCAAACGAGACAATGTGAAAGCACTTCCCTTCTTGAGTCCTGGCTGGTGCCTGAGGGTGGAAGAGCGAGGGCCGGTCAGGAGCCCAGGGCTACACCTGTAATACATCAGTGGGCCAGGTCTGACTTTTTCCCCTTCAGAAGTAACTGCCAGAGGCCATAGTATTTGCCTTTGCCCCTCTGGAGAGATGAATGGAGGACAGAGATGGGGAATTTGCCACTGCCAAGATCTACATCACAGCCCCTGGGTTCTCTCCCACCCTCCCAGGTTTCTAGCCCAGGCGCAAAACCTGGGTTTGGTTTTCTGAAATCTACCAACTATTAGCTGTGTGACCTTGGACAAGTCACTGCCCTTCTCTGGGGAGTTTCTTCCTCTGTAAAATAACAGGACAGGACGTGATGATTTCAAGTTCATTCCAGCTCTAAATGGGGATAAAATGTCATCTACTTCACAAGGTTTTTACGAGGGTAAAATGTAAAGTGCTTAGCACAGCGGCAGGCAGAGTAGGTGCTTAATTAAATGTCTCCTCTTCCTTCCTACAAACTCTTCTTAGCTTTGTCCGTACCACATGCCAACATTTATCGATTCTGTTCTCTGTGGGTGAGTCCCATGCCTTCAACAAGCCTTGGAGTCAACAGCATTATCTTCAGTCATGGGGTCAACATCTCAGGAGGGATGCTGTTAAGCTGGGGAGAGCATCCAGAGGAAGGTCACCAAGACGGTGAAGGGCCCAAGGATGATGCCAGTAGAGGACTGGCCGAAGGAAATAGGGAAGTTTAGCCTGAGTGTGATCAAGAACTTTAAGCACTGAGGGCCAATCTCAGAAAAGGGATTCCTCCTCTTCTCCTGCTTGGCCTAGAAGGTACACCACGGAGGGACAGGCTTTGGTGCAGAGGAAGGAGGTAATCCTAATAATCACAACTGCCCCACGGCGGCAACAGGCAGTCTTGGGAGGCACTGAGCATGGGAGGGCTCTAAGAGGAGGCTGATCACTGGTCAAGGATACTGGTGCTCCTTCTTCTGCCTCCCCCAGCTCCCAGAGAACTGAGTGCCAGACCAGAAACCCACCCAGCGGGGCTCAGAAAAGGTTTGGCCGTGGCCTGATTTTTCCTGGAGCATCCAACAGAAGGATGAGGCCACAGGGAGGCGCCTCTGGCCTACCCCTCTCAGCTCCAGCTGCCTCCAAGTTGGGAGATGCAGCTTTTGTTCCACACAGGAATAATACTGGATGGCAATGCTGTGTGTGTCGGGGGGGCACTGGGGACAACAAGGTGGGAAAAAAAGAAAAGCTTTCATGTGTTGCTACTGCAGTAAAGGGTCTGGCATCATTAACCACCAGCCAGCCCACGCTGGGTACCCGGGATCTGGGCGAGTAACACAAAGCCCCGGATGACTGGAGGATGTGATGGGCAGGGAGCTTCAGGGCCCAAGCATCGGACCAAGCTGGTGCCGGCTCTCATGGAGATTTCTATTCTCCAACAGTTCTGGGGGCTTGGGGAAAACAAGCCCAGGGGAGGTAGAAGGGTTGGAAATGTGGTGGATTACATATCCATGGGGGCAGGTATGGGGGGAGCTCTCACCCCTTGACCCAAAAAGCAGATAGCAAATGTGCTATCAGAGCCACTCCTGGCTCTGATTGGCTCCTGATGACATCACAACCAAGTACTGCCAGGCTGGCAGTCCCCTGCCTTCCACTGGGGGCTCATCAATTTCATCAGCCAATTAATCCTCTAGGAGAATTGCCCTCTTGATTGGCAGTGTGTGTGTGTGTGTGTGTGTGTGTGTTGGGGGAGGCCTCGTACAACTATTATTACTGAGTGTTTCTAATTAAACAAAAATGTTCATCTTGCAGCACATTCTGCAGAATTCCTCGGAGTTTAATTAAAACAACAACGATGGGAGGCGTGATCAGATTTGAGGATCAGATTGGTAGAGAAAGCGTCTCCAAGCATCACAAATTGGCACTCAGTTCAGACGCTGCCATTTCTTTCCATCCGGACAAAGAAATCCTGCCCCTCCTTCCCACAGGTGACAAGGCTTAGGATAATGCGCAGCCACTGGTCCCTCACTTCCCACACTCCGGCCCTTTCCATGACTCCGCCTTTCCTGAGGCCCAGCTCTGGGCTTCACTAAGAGCAGAGAGGGGACCACTGCCCTACCTCTAGGGGATTTGCCATCCCATTAGGGAGCTAAGAGTGGCTTATAGGAAGCAACACTGAACGAAGTTGACAAGACAAACTATGGTTAAGTACTAAGTGGCATGATCTCCCCTGGCATTTCCTCCCAGGAAATGAATGGTCAGGAAAGGCTTTTTGGAAGAGGAGGAGATGCTCACCCAGGCTGGATGACCACTGGTTGGAAACACTGCAAAGGGGATCCCTGCATCTCATACCAGCTGGGTTAGATAACAGTTCATGAGGGGAAAGAGATCTGATGGTCTTAGTAGACCACAAGCTCCACATAAGTCCACAAGACAGTATTATGGTCAAAAGAGCCTAATGCAATCTTGGGCTTTATGATGAGAGGCAAAGTGCCCAGAAAGGGAGAGTCGTGCTAATTTCTGACCTGGAATGCTGTTTTCTGTCCTGGGTGCCACATCTTTTTTTTTGGGGGGGTGATACTGACAAGCTAGAGCACATCAGAAGAGGCTGATAAGAAGAGTGAGAGGATGTGAGGCCACTCTAGATGATCATCAGTTGAAGGTACTGAGGGTGTTTCACATATAGATGACTTGGTTAGGAGCGTGGACAGAACATGACAAGTGCCTTAAGTTGTTTGAAAGGTTGTCATGGGAGAAGTGGGATTAGAATGTTTGTTTGTCTCCAGAAGGCAGAACTAGGACCAAGAGGATGAAGTGATTTGAAGACAGATTTCAGCTTGATATAAGGAAAAATGTCCTCATAATGAGAGCTGTCCCCAAATGGGAGGGGCTACTTTAAGGAGGAATGAATTCTCCATCACTAGAAAAGAGATTTCTGCTCAGAATGAGATCTCCCTATAGTGACAAAATTACAAATCTGGTCAGGAAAAAAAAAAGACTGCGAAGATCAGGTGCTAATGTTTCATTTCATTCAATCTATTTCTAGCCTGTTTCTCCAAGAAGGAAAGCCCTACGGGGTCCAGTTCTTGCAGGGGCAGGTTTGGTGGCACCCTGTAACTGACTTGAAAGTATGTAAGCAGGGCCACTGTTTGGTTTCTGAGGGTGCTGTCCCTGTGTCCCCAAAGGCCACCAAGCTGAATGGTGGGTGGGAGAATCCACAATAGCATGGTAGAGGGGAATCAGGAGTCATGGGCTCAAACACCAGCTCTACCCCTGACTACCAACAAATCCCTTCCCCTCTCTGGGGCTCAGTTTCCCTGCTTGCAAAATGAACTGGGTTTGACAAGATAAGCCATAAGGTCTTTTACAACTCAGATTCTTTCTATATTCCTGTGTTTCCACAGAGCAACAACAAAGGGGAGACCTTGAAGTGGACTTAATCTTGGCTTTGCTACTAAATAGCTATGAGGTGCTGGGTGAGTCATTTCTTGGGGTCTAAGTTTTCTTTCTTTTTGGTTTTCTGTGTCAATCTCTTTTTTTAAATTTTTTTCCCACTTAATAATATTTTATTTTAAATTTCACTAATAACTTTTTTTTTGGAGGCAATCAGAGTTGAGTGACTTGCCCAGGGTCACATAGCTAGTAAGTATCTGAGACTAGATCTGAACTCAGATCTTCCTGACTCCAGGGCTGGTGTTCTATCCACTGTACCACCTAGCTGCCCCAGGGGTCTCAGTTTTCTCATCTGTAAGAGGAGGGCTGGGGGGAGGCTCTTTCAAGTCTGTGCTCCTAAGGAGACACCAAAGAGCACCTGGCTTCATCTTGCTGGTCTTAGAAGGGGGCTCCATCCAAGCTCCTCCTTAGAAGGGTTGCCAGGCCTGTAATCCCTCCCCCTGCATCCCTCCATCTCCCCAAAAGTAGAGGGTAGAATCTACCCCCAGCCCCACCTCTCTGGTCCCAGGAAGGAGACAAGAGTAGCACTGCTGCTCCTTCCCTGCAGTGGGCACAGCTGTTCAATAATTAAAAGCAGAAGCGAGTGTGTGTTTGCCGTTCTGAGCTCGCTCACATGTATATTTATGGATGTGAGGATCAAGATAAAGGGGAAGGCGATAAAGTGCTGGCAGCTTCGTGCAGGGAGACCAGCTTGGACGGGAAGGCAAGGAGACACTGTGCCCTCAGTTTCCCCCTCTGCAGAATGCGGGAGCAGAGCTCCTTGATCTCTGAAGGCCCTGACGCTCTGAAGTTCCATGAGCCTCTGTATGCAGCCCCAGTCTGGGATCCAGAGCAGGGCTTCTGATCAAAAACCAGGGTGTTGCTGAGAAGGGCTGGAGGGGGCACGTAGGAGCCAGCCCTGGATGGCAGGGATGGGCGGGAAGCCTCCCTCCTCTGTCTCTGTTTGCCTGGAGGAGGTTAATGGATTCAGTCTGTCCTTTTAACTCTCCAGGTCCTGACGTGGAGTCAGGCGCCCAGGGCCCCAAGGAGCAGGCTTTTCATGAAAGCTGTGCAAAGGTCAGTATGCGCCTATCTCTGGGGAAGGAGCAGCTGGCAGGGAATGGGAGAGGAGGCTCTGCCTCGGCCTGCAGTGGGGAGCAGGGAGGAGCCCTCTCTCCCAGATCCCCATCTCCCTCCCTCTCTCTGGCACCAGGAAGCAGCCACTGCTTGGATCAGGGTCCAGATGGCTCAGTACAGGGAGAAACAAGGCCTGTGCTCGTCTGGCTGACTCCTAGGCCTCTGAGGAATTGGGCCCAGAAGACAGGGAGAGGGGGCAGGGCAGAAATGGTGCTGCTCACATGAAGAATCTTCCCCCTCCCCCTGCTGCCTCAAGGAACTCTTACCCTGTGCTGTGCAGTGACCATTCCCAGGGCCAAGAAGGGCCCACCTAAGTCTAGCTCTGTCCACCTACCCCCCAGAGTTTATAGATGTAAACTGAGGCCTGGGGACGGGAAGGGACTTGCTCACAGGCACACAGAGTTCAGTGGGGGAGCTAGAACTCCAGTCCAGGTCCTTTATCTCCAAGCCCCATTTGGGTCCATGGAGGCAGAGGAAAACTGAGGCTTCTAAGGCCCTACAGACTGCAGATCCCCACCCACTCCTTTCCTGCACCCCAAGGCCAGTGCCTTTCAAGCACATCTGGGCCAAATCCTTCCCCCACTGATAAACCGACAGACCCAAGATGTTCCCCACTTGTCATCCTGACTCAGCTGCTCAAGGGAGCGCAGTGGGGTGGTGGAGCCTGCAGAAAGCTGGGTGAAGGGTAAGGTGATTACAGCCCTCCCAGCTGAGCAAGGGCTATCTGAGGCCAACCTCGATGGCTCCGACCAGCTGCCTGCCCGCCTGCCTGCTGGCGGGGAGGCCAAGCTGAGGCCGCTGTCAAATCTGAGTTGTAGATTAGGGTTAGACAGAAAGGCAATTGTGTTATTTTCCAATACACCCAGGAACTCCAGCAATACTAATGAAGTGCAGTCACGCAGAAGTCCTGCCGGACCTACTGTAATGAACAGATAATTATTTGTAATGAGCCCATTAATGGGCAGGTAAGCAAATGGGTGTTGCTAAAGTGCTAGAAAACTATTCTTTCTTTTGGGTAGGTGCTTTACTCCCTGCTGAAATCTTAATGAGCCCCTTACCCTAGAGGCATGAGGTCTAAATTTGGGGATTTTCTTGGCCATGGAGAAAGGAAGTAAGAAAAGGAAAGGAAACAAGCATTTATTAAGGGCCTACTACATGCCAGGCACTGGGCTAAGAGCTTTTACAAATATCATCACATTTGAGCCTCAAAACAACCCTAGGTGCAATTACCACCTCCATTTAACAAATGAGGAAACTGAGGCAGATGTTTAAGTGACTACTAGTTAAATATTTGAAGTCACATTTGAACTCAGGTCTCTATGCTGAGTTCACCTAGCATACAAAGAGGATGAATTCCTGTTCTGACCCTGACTAGTTGTGTGACTGTGGGTAAGTCACTCCTCTCTTTGAGCCTCAGTTTTCTGATCTGTAACACAGGGATGACGATATTGCTTATACAATGTACCTCAGAGTTGTTGGGGAGAAAATACTTTACAAATCTTGAAGTGTTGTAGAAATATGCATTTCAACACTTTAAGGATACGTGATTTTGTAGATGTGGAATGCATTCTCTTCATTTACTTAGATTTGTAGCCCCCACCCAGTTTTGCCGTGTCTCAGAAGGTGGCTCTGCCCAAATCCCCCATCATTGAGGCTGAGCCTCCCCCCCAGCTGAGTTAGACTGGTCCAGGCCAGACAGAGGGTCCAAAGGCAGGCTTGCCTTTCCAGTGTGGCACAGCTGGCCTAAGCTTGGGCTTCCAGTAGACTGCCTCAGGGAGCCCAGGCTCATTTCCACATCACAATGGGACACCAGGGGAGGACTCAGGCAGTTTCTGATTCTTCTTTGTCCCCCATGCCCCACACCAAACTGTACAAAAAAGGAAGGCCTGGCTGGACAACATTTCCCAGAAATGATCTTCCGGGAGCTGCTGCTTCAGGTCTCGCTGATCTCAGCCCCCCACTCTGAGCTCTGAGGTACGACACTTTGGGATGAGCCCTGAATCTCAAGCCAAGGGCTACGGGTTCATATTCTGGCCCTGCTACTTATGTACGCCCTGTGTGACCCTGGGTAATTCCCCTCTCTCCGGACCTCAGTCCTTGGCCCAGATGATTTCTAAGGTCCCTCCTAGCTCTATGTCCTGTGGTCCTATTGCTCATAGAGCAAACCAAACCAAACAGATAAGAATTTATTCTTATTGAACTTCTTGTCATCTTGGGGACAGTACAGAGCCGGATGACAGCAGACCAGAGTTGGGAATGACCTTACATACTGCCCAGCTCCTTTACAAATGGGGAAAATGAGGCTCACAGAGGGACTAGAACCCAGGTGTTCTCCCCACCTCAATACTGAGCTCCTCAAGGTAGGGGCTACTGCCCCTTTCCCGCGTGTGTGCAACAGAACACAGGGCCAGGTACACACTAAGAGCTTTCTTTAATTACTTGGAGACTCATGGGATCACAGGATTTGGGAGTGGCGAAGGCCTTGAGAGATTATCTAGTCCAATCACCTCATTTTAGAGAGAGTGAAACTAAGGCCTGAGAACTTTAGTGACTTGTCTACATAGCTAATAAATAGCAGAGATAGGATTTATACTCAGGTCCCCTGACTCCAAATCCATGGACTCCAGATCAGCAAAAAGGTCACTGGGAAGGTAGACACCATTCACCCACCCACCCACCCCCTGGTTTCCCTCTTGCTCCAATTTGAGCCCAATAGGATGGGTGTGCTGGAGCCATGTGGAGACCCTGGTCAGCACAGGGGGCACCAGAATTGGGGTTGCCAGTACCTCGGAGGACAGTGAGCTTAGCATGCACAGTGATCTCCCCGATGGGATTCTGCGCCACACATTCATACACATTTTCATCCCGGGGCGTCCTCAGGGGCTGGATCCGAAGTACCGCACCAGCACTCTCATCAAACTCGATAGTCTGACAGGAAGAAAAGGAGCAGATAAGCATCAGAGCTCTTTCTGAGTTGCATTATCCCCACCCTTCTCTCCGTGCTGCCTGACCCTCTCTGGAGCATGCTCCATCCTAGCTGGGGACTGCATGCACAAGCTTTCTTTTCTGCTTTTGCCATTGGGAATGTGGCTGTAGTTTAGGGACCTATGGTGACAGAGGGCAGATATAGTGCAGAGGAGAGGGGTTGCATCAGGACATGTGTGTGTATATGTGTGCCTGCATGAGGCTGTATAGGTATATTTGTAGACCCAAGTGCAAGAGTATGTATCTGTGTATAGGTGGGTGAATATGTGTGTAATAGTAGAGTAATAACAATAGCAATAATTGTAACAGCTAGCATTTACATAGCATTTTATGAATATTATCTCATTTTATCCCCATACCCCTGGGAGAGACACTATTGTTATCCCCATTTTACACATAAGGAACCCGAGGCAGACAGTAGTGAAGTGACTTGTATGGTATGCACTTGTAAGTATGTGTAGGGGTGTGTGCCTATATATTATATACAGTGTGGTGTGTGTGCATCTATGCACAGAACATATATGTATATCTTTGCTTAGTAGCAAAGAAGATTGTGGACCTTACCTGTAAGGGTGTATGCATGCACATGAGCATGAGAATGTGGATTTGTGAACAGAGAGCTGGCTGAGCTTGGCTCCAGGAAGACCTGGGTTCAAGTCCCACCTCTGACACAGCCTGGGTGATTCTGTCAATTCAATTCTCAGTGTTTTAGAAAGCTTTCTGGGATTACACGTTGCATTGAGAGATGGAAATTTCTCTTCCAGGAGTTCCCTATGGTAGTGAAATCACAGGTCTAGTCCCTAACCCTCTCCCTAGATATGCAGGGATGTGTTTCCCTGTGCATTAAGGGTATATGTGTATCTCTGTGTAGCGATGAGTATCTGAATTTGGGAGGGAGGTTGTGTATCTGTTTCACACTGTGTATAAATATATCTATCTCTATCTCTATCTATCTATTCTTCCCTGGGTTTCCAGGGAAGAATAGGGAGAGGTGGGAGATGCTAGCCATCACCAGGGTGAATGTCTGCAGAGTGCATTTATGTCTTTCAGTGGGGATCCAAATTCAGAGAGAGACACACTTGAGAGCCTATGCCCCATTTTAGTGCAGCCTCTGCGTGGGGCCAAGACCCAGACAGCCTTGGGGAGCCCAGGGACATGGAGAAGCAGAATGAGCTCTTCTCTGAGGAGGCCCACAGGGGTGACCCTTGATCAGGGCCTGAGCTGTCTATGACCCTATGGGTCTGAGGCAAGGGTGTGCATGGGGATGACTGTGCGTGGAGGGTGGGTAGGGGTGGCGGCTGTACACAGATATGTTTAGGGTGTGTGTATGTGTGTGTGTGTAGGGGGGCTGTACTTATGTATGTGACTGCCAGTTTTTTAGAAGCTAGAGATGGAAGGAGGGAGGTGGAAGATGCTTCCTTACCTCAAACCGCTGGGAGTTCACCTTCTTGCCTTTCTTGTTCCAAGTCACCCGCGGCTTGGGGTCTCCAGTGGCCTGGCAAACGAAGGAAGCCACACCACCTGACACCCCAATCTGATCCCGGGGCTCCTTGATGAACCTGGGGGATTCTGGAGGAAAGGAAAGAGGCAGCCTGTGAGGTGGGCAGGGTCATGGTGATGGCGGCAGTACAGAGGGACTTTAGACAGCCGTTAGGACTAACCCCTCAATTTGCAGATGAGGAAACAGGGGCAAGGACTTGCCCAGAGTCACACAGTAGTGAGTAGCGGGGCTGGGATGCTGGTGCCAGAGCCAGAATTCTTTCTACCATGCTCAGGGCCTCAAGGACCATGTGGACACAATGGGAGTTCATATAATGGGGCTAGGCTGGGCCGGGCCCAGCTGGAGACGTGCAGATCGGCAGGTGTGACTCAAATGCCCTAGAAAATGACATGTGGCGCTACACGCAGACATAGATCTAACCTCCTCCCTCCTGAGGGGGCTCTCTTTGGAACCCAGGAAGCTCATCCACATTTCAGCAGGATCTCATAACCCTAGAGCTGAAAGCAATCTCAGGATGTGTCCAGTCCAATTTGTATTTAAACTCACACCTCCTCCATAGCATCCTTGGCAAAGTGGCTAACCAGTCTCTGCTTGAATTCCTCCAGGGATGGGGTACTCAGTGCCCGTGAGGCAACCCATTCCACTTCTGAAGAGCTCTCACGTTCTAACTATTCAGGGCAGTGCCCCTGACAACTGCCATCATATCTCCACCGTGAAGTCTTCACCAAGCTGAGCAGCCCCAACTTAATAATAATAATAACAGCCAACATTTATACAGTGCTTTCCGGTTTACACAGGACTTTACAGATGCTATCTTATCTGACCCCCACAACTATCTTAGGAGGTGGGTGTTCATATGTTCCCAGTTTTGCAGACAAGGAAACTGAGTCTGAGAGAGGTTAACTGACTTGCCCAGAATCACACAGCTAGTGAGTGTCTGAGGAATAATTTGAACCCAAGTCATTTCAACCAGGTTATTTCCCTCTCTAGCCCTTGGTTTTTTTAATTTGTAAAACCGGGAGATGAACTTAGATCAGGGGTGGGGAACCTGTGGCCTCTAAGATTTCTTCCATCTCTAAATCCTGTGAATTCCCACCAACTGATCTTCATACAGCCTAGTCTCCCATCCCTTTGTCACATGTGGCCCAGGTTACCAACAGCTTTCCTAAAACGTGGCATCCCAAACCAAGTATGATCCTGCAGATGAAGTCTGACTCAGGCAGAAACCACGGGGACCACCGCTGCCACTGGTCTAGATGTTAGGGGCCAGACCAAAGATGTCCCAGCCGAGTCAGAATCCCAATGTGACATGGTGGGCCACCACCAGCTGCTACCTGCTCGCTTCCCTGCCCTCTGCACGCAGGAAGGCTCCCCCTCACCCATACTTGGAATTCACTCAGCACAGTGGAAAGAGCACTGATCAGGAATCAGAGGGAGGAGGTTCGAATTGCAGGTGGCTTCCCTAGACCTCAGCAAAGTAGACAACACAACTTTTGAGCTTCTGGAACTAGGCTCTCCCATCTCTCCCCGTCGAAATCCTTTTTCCTCAAGGCTTGGTTCACAGCCTTGTTCAGTTCTCCCCTCCCCCCCTGCAAAAAAAAAAAAAGCCTTTCCTTACATCCCCTGAGTAAAGAGTTCTCCCCCTCCTCAAACCTTTGCAGAGCAGTTGGGAACTCTCCATCACAGTTCTGACTCATAGTGTTGGCCTAAGTATGTACTGCTAGGTGCTATGGATAGGAAGTCAAAACCAAAGCAATTCCTGCCTTCAAAGAGCTTATACTCTATAAGGCAGGGCCTTCTTTGTTTATTCCCTGCCCTCAAGTGAGGCACTTCATAGGTGTTTGTTGAATTAAGGGTTCCTTCCCTTTGGCCTTCAAGCACTTAACCCAGTCCAGGTTCCATCTGTTCTGGACTCTACCAGGCTCCTCCCTGTCTTGAAAGAGCATTCTTTTCTGGCTCTCCTGTAGAGAACCACGAAGCCTCCTCCCATTACACATCCCTGTATCTAGCAGGGTTCCAAAAAGATGTTTTGAGCTGGAAAAGCCCTAGAGGACATTTCTTACATTACCCTCAAAAAGCAGGAGGGAAAAATAAAGGAGAAAGACAGAGAGAGAGAGAGAGAGAGAGAGAGAGAGAGAGAGTGTGTGTGCCCCTGCAGCACAGGGAGGGGAAGGGAAGGGAGCTTGGTGGGGTAACTAGGCCATCATCAGGACGCAGGGAATGACAGCTCAATTCAGCACCCACAGCATCCATAGCACTCGATGGGTACTTGATGAATTGAGGGAAAGAGCTGAAATTAAAGGATGAGTGAGCTTGGGAGAAGATAAAAGGGGATATCTAGGGCATAGCCATTAGATCACCAATTTAGAGAAGGAAGACTGTAGGGGTTATCTAGTCCGATGCTGTAATTTTATAGGTGGGGAAACTGAGGCCCAGAGAGGTTCCACAAGTCTTAAGCAGTAGGGGCAGGATCTGAACCCACTTCTCAGCCACCAAACCCAGGGGTCTTTCCACCGTGCTGCCCAACCTACTCAAGCCTGTCCCAGGAAGCCAAGTTCCCACGTGTCCTCTGCCTCCAGCCTGGGCTAAGATCGATCTAGATTAGATGAGTTCAGCTCAATTCCCTCTAATCTAGTTAGCCAAGAATTTACAGAAATATTTAAATTGTTGGGGCATGGCTGTGTTCCAATAAAGTCATCCAGACCATAAAGTTTCCTTCTGTTCTTCTCTGGGCAGTGGGGCTCTTACAAGTGTGAAATGGGGATCCTGTTAGGTACATGGCTGGAGCCAGGCTCGGGGTAACGCTAGTGGTGCATTAACAAGATCTCCCTCATGGGAAGGAGGGCTAGTGCAGGGGTACAGAATGATGCCCCAGGCCAAAGCAATATGTCATAAGCTGGAGAGCTTGGCCAGGCCAGGCCCTTCCCCACCTCTACCCCCTGCCCGCAGCAGTCCCAGTGATGGCCAGACTCAGTAGGGGAGCAAGACCAAATAGACGGAGCTGCTGGCTCTACCCAGCTCTCTTCCTTGACCAGAGGTAAGACAACCAGCTCCATCCAGTCTCTGCCCCCCTCCACCTGGCCCCATGGGCCCAGGCATTAGTTTTACAAATATCTGTATCTATATTTAGAGGTCGATGCACCATCCTGGGAAAGGTTATCAGCACTTACATTAGAAACTCTTGGAGCCAGAAATGATCATTTGCTTCTTGCCAGCAGCTTCCCTCCTTCTTCTCACTAACCCAGGAGGGAGGGAAGGAGGGATTCTCTGAACAGGAACCGATGGCCTCTTAAGTAAATGGGAAAAGAGCCGGCAGAGAGGAGTCCCCAGGCACATGGCACAGTGAGCCAAGCATTGCAAGAAAGGTCAGGGGTGCTTCAGAAGGGTCTTAGACAAGAGTCAGCAATAAAATACATGTGCAGGTTATTCATTACACTTTACTGGCAGGATGGGGTACAGAGGCCTGCATGGAGATTCAGGATGCCTGGGGCCTATCGCTCTCACCTCCGGTCATGATTGCCTTTAAATTTCTCTGATGTTCTGTTCCCTCCCTGAAGGGCCTGGACTAGATGTTCTCCTAGTCCTGACATTCTATGTCCTAAGGGCCCTCTCAGCTCTGACACTGTGTGTTCTAAGGGCCCTCTCAGCTCTGCTATTCAGTGTTCTAAGGGCCCTTTCAGCTCTGCTATTCAGTGTTCTAAGGGCCCTCTCAGCTCTGCTATTCAGTGTTCTAAGGGCCCTCCCAGTTCTGACATCTTGTGTTCTAAGGGCCCTCCCAGCTCTGACACTCTGTGTTCTAAAAGCCCTCCCAGCTCTGACACTGTGTTCTAAGGGCCCTTTCAGCTCTGACATCCTGTGTTCTAAGGGCCCTCCTAGTTCTGCCATTCAGTGTTCTAAGGGCCCTCCCAGCTCTGATATCCTGTGTTCTAAGGTCCTTTCTGGCTCTGACATTTTTAGGTAGTGGTAGATTATTTGTTCTTCCCTTTTCCTTTATTTTACCCAGTTACTCAAAGCCTGAAGTAGCTGCACCTGAAGGTTATGTGTATGCTTACGGGTGAGGCTGGTAAATGGGAGACAATGAAGATGACACAGAGGAGAAAGGGTCTGAGACAAAAGGTTAGGCAATCACCCAGGAGACAGTAACTCTGGAAGGTGCATTGAGGCCCAAGAGATAACACTGAAACACTGCAGGAAAGCAGGCATTCCCCGCCAGCCTGAGGACTTTAAAGCACCCTGGGGAGTTACACACCTCTCTGGGATCTATGGCTGATCAACCTCCTTTAATAAAACTTTCTCCTACATTATTGTCAACTTTTGGCTTACAGGGGAGATTTGTTCTCACTAAACCGGGGAATACCAAGGTGCATGTTATTGCAGGTTTCCTGGGTGGGGATTATATGATCCAAGAAAGTGAGAAAAATTCTTCTTACTGTACCCAGCCCTTCACTGTCCTTGAGCCAGTCTTTGACACAAAGGGTTCTAAGATCTGTGACTCATTCTGTGACCAGAAACCTAGAGCTGGAGGGGACCTCACAGCCCATGGAGTTCGACCCCCTCATTTTACAGAGGAGGAAACTGAGGCCTGGAGAGGTTCCGTGACTTGCCCTGTTCTAGTCCTGACATTGTAGAGTTCTCCTTAAAAACGGAATGCTCAGTGGAAGCTCCACCTAATGAGCCAACTGGAGTCCACAAGTTGACATTTTCCTCCCTCTTTTAAATTAGTTCACAAAGTGCCTTCCTTACAAAACCCTGTGAGGGAGGTAGAGGAATTGCTGCTTCACTTTACAGATGGGGAAACTGAGGCTCACACAGCTAGTAAGTCAGAGCTAAGGTTCTAACCCAGATCTCCCTCTTGTTGAGTTCATGCCTGGGATAATGGTGAGAGCGTGGGATATGGCATCATAATAATCGCTAACAATTATTGAGTGCGCTAAGTTTGCAGAGACCTTTACATATATTAGCTCACACGATCAGTCAGCAGACCTGGGTTCAAAACCTAGCTCCACAGAGTAGTGGCTGTCTGACTTTACCCTCCTTTCCACTGGGCTAGAACCCTGAACTAGGCTAC